AAAATCAATCATCATGACCCTTCACTGACACCTTTTCCTTTCATGTACTCAACCGTCAAAATCCTTTCCTTTAATCCTCTGAACCATCCTCCCTTGTCTTCATTGTTCTTGTCACTCGGAAACCCCTCTTCAAAATTCTCCAATGGATAAACACTCCAAGAATCCTTCTGTCACTACTAGAAAAAGTACTCGTTCTAAGGGTCCAAAACAAGTAGACCTAAGGCCTTACCACTCAGAAGGGTTTGCCTCTTCTTAGGCAGAACCATCTGACCACTCTCATCGAATAGGATAAAAAGCTCTTGGCAAAAGGCCCATGGAAGACCCCCTTGAATCTTTTACCCCAATGAAATCCAAAGTAGACCTCTCGAGTTCTATAGAGTCTAACCTCATTTTTTGGGATACCCCAAATAGGGATTTCCTTATTTCTCTCAAAGACAAGCTCATTGCTCACGACAGAGTAATCGATCTTGAAGACACGGAGGCCCTCGATTGTAAGGTAAAAGATTTGTTTGTTTTTCAAGGATGGTCTAAATTCCTCTCTGTACCCCCTCCCAAAGTATATGAACGTTTAGTGAGGATGTTCTATGCTAATCTTCGTTCTAGTAAGCCTGATAAGTTAGAATCCCTAGTTCTAGGAAAACGCATTGTCCTTGATTGTGCCATGTTTGACTCAATTTTTCAGTGTAAGTTCTTTGGCTTTCCCATACTTTTCAAAAATACTTGGCCTGATGACTTTGACATTTCTTTTGATCAAGCAAAATGTTGTATTGCGGAATGTCCTATTGATTTCCTTCCTAACAGGTTAGGTCCCAGTGATGTTAGTTTCGAAACTCGAGTTCTAGCCCACATTATTGCAACTGCCCTTTTTCCTCACAGTGGCTCATTCTCCACCTTCTCTAAACGAGACACCTTTCTTGTCTAATGTCTTGTGACCAAACTTAAGATTAAACTATCCTCATGGGTCATAAACTTCTTGATTGAAAGTGCTGATGATCCCACCAGTCTACCCTATGGTATGGCTATCACCCATATTTTGAAAGCCCACAACATCTCTATCTCAGAATACCCCTTTGTTTCATTTCCAAAGTCCAAAAACTCTAGAGCCTTTGCCAGTAAGGGGTATGTATGTACTAAGGGTTCCTGGGTGAAGAAACATGAAGGTGAAATCAAGAATGTTCAGCCTGATTCTAAGATCAAAGCCTTTGTTTCCCATTATAGTGTAGGTGATCCTAATCTTATAGAGAAATTGACTGCTATTGACAATAAGTTGACCATCATCAAGGACCTTCTTGCTGCAATTCAATCAATGATTGGGGACATCCATGTCATCTCCAAAGAGACTGGGTCCGACATTTCAAATATAAGGGTCATTCTCAAACTTGCAGAAAACGCAGTCAAAGGCTTCAAGAAAGTACATGACAAGATTGATGGGGTGACAGTTTCAGCTAATGCCAGCTTTGAGCGTCTTGCGTCGTTAGTTATGGATGTTTCAGATAATTATTTTGCCATTTTGCTGTTTTGGACTGGATAACCAGTCGCTAGATAGTTTCTTTACTTTTGCTAAACTCTACATGCCTATAATTTGCAAATAATTGCCTATGATGTGCCTGTTTATACTTAATTTTGATTGTATATATGCATATCCCCTCTTTGCTAATGTCAAAAGGGGGGAAGAAAGATAGTCATACATTGTAGGACAAATAACAACACTTGTTGATGGGGAGTCGACTGAAGCATATACAACACCTGTTGAGGGGGAGTCGACTGAAGCATATGCAGCACCTGTTGAGGGGGAGTCGACTACAACAGAGCAAGCCGACAGGGAAATAAACTATTGTTTATATATATTATTTTTGTCATCATCAAAAGGGGAGAGATTGTTAAATATGAGTTTCAATGGTGAAAAATAAAATATCACATTTGGTGCAGGATCACAAGAGATAAAACAAAAAAATCAAGATTCCCTATCATTCAAGCATGGGCTAGGGGAAACAATCCATCAACGGAAACAAAAAGTATCAATGACTAGCTATGAAAAAGGAAGAAGCAACGGAAATCCAGAAGAAGAATCAATCAATGATTTGATAGATAATTGACGGAAGCTAGTATAGGAAGGTTCCAAAATCAAAGAAAAATAACAGTGCAAAGTTCTACACTGGAGATCGTTAAAGCCCAAAATCAGGGGATCCATTATCAATCACTCAAGTAATGGAAAGATCTGCCCAGCGGAAAAAAAGCCTATCAAGGACACAAGTCAAGAAAGATCAATGCAAACCTAACCTTATTCTTAGAAAGAATCAATTTGCGATTCGGTTCAAGGATCAATTCCCTTGGGTTTGTAATCTCTCAAGATTCGCATCAATCAAGAGTCAAGAAGGCCTCACGAAGTATATATACATATGTTCCAGGCTTGAAGCAGATATACTTTGAACGAACCATTATCACTCTTTATATTCTACTCCAAACAAGCATTGTATTTCTTTTTAGATATGTTGTGTAATTAGTGAGAGAAGAAAAAGAGATAAACACTGGTGAGACATTGTATCAAGAATGAAAAAGTGATATAGAAACTAAGCTGTTGGTGTAAAGCTACATCAACCATCTTGTACTCGAGAAACTTCAAAACTGAAAGAGATCACCCTTGCAACCCAAGGGTACTGGACGTATGATTCACATTGAATCCGAATCAGTATAAAAATCTCGGTGTCTTTATTTCCTGCACTTTATTTCTTCATTATTATTATTCTGTTCTTATCTCTAATTGGCTAATTGGTAAACTTGTCAACTACTTAGAATACTGAAAATAAAAATCGTCAATTCACACCCCCCCTCCCTCCTCCCCCCTGTACTTTCAATAAATCTTATTGATAAATTTATCGATTCAAACTTACTATCTGTGACAATTTTAGTGAATTTTTACATATAAAATTAATATTTCGTGTCAAAAGTAATGAGTTCAGATGAATCTGGCTCCGCTAATCTACGTTACGTTGAGATGAATCCAATTGAACATTTTTTTTAACTGGATAAGACCTCTTGTAACATCCAGAGATCACTAGAGTTGTACAAAAAATATCAGTAGCTAGTTGATTCGGTGAATAGGAATCTCCACTTGTGAAAATAACTCTGCAATCTGCAACAGTTGATTCTTTTTTGTTCCTGGATACTCTTGTTCTTTTATTTAAAAATGTACAAAATATCTGGATCTTATGTCATAAAATAAGAAATAATGCAGTAGGAAGACAAAGAGAGGGGCGTCGGGGAGTGAGGGGACCGAGCCAGTAAGAAAGGGAAAATATATACTATATGGTCCTCTGGTTTGGACCCCTCGGATTTGCTTCCCACAGTGTAGGAAAGTGGATTTTTTCTACAAAAACAGTGTTAGCAATTTGAGAAACACGACACATGCATGTTTCTGGCAGTATTTGCTGTACCTAAGTAGTAGTGGATTATTGAGATACATAATAATCCAATTGAAGAAGAAGTTGCTTCTTTTTTAATTTAACCATATAGTGTTCGGAACTCATAGCACTTAATTAATGCAGATTCGTGCCAAGTGAGCTGACTAACGAAGGTAAAATGCTATCTATCGAAAGGTTCTTCATTCCTAAGACTTGAATCGAATTATTATGAAAGAGATGTTGCTACTCCCTCAGCTCAATGTACTCTTTTGAAGATGAATAAAATGCGTTATTTATTTATTTTTTTAAAAATGGGATCTCTTCATCCTAACTTTTTTTAATCAAACTCCTATTTATTGCAACAACTACTGATTGTAACACTTGAGCTTGAAACATGTGATCATGTTGTCATAATAGTTGTATAATTTGAATTTTTGGTTCAGAAAAAAAAAGATTTTGATTTAAGATTCTAATACCACATGATTTTCCCCCCTTACTGTTATTACATAATTAACAGGAGGATATGAGTCTCATGAACTGCAAGACCATAACCATAAGACGAAGGTTCGAACCTTGTGCTGCAATAAACAATTTGAGCTAATTGTCTATTGAACTGTTCCTTTAAAAGTCAAGATCCTAAATTGTTGAAAATTAATACGTTGGTGCACGAGCACAGAACTTAAGTTTTTAGAAAAAATTATCATATAATGTTTGATGCCACTACATGAAAATTTCAATATTTTAGTATACAAATTCTTATTATATAGTCGCTTACTTTGATTAAACACTTTTTTTGAATCACTATTTCGGATATAAATATCACTTGCTATGTTTTTCTTTTATCTTTTGAATTACTTCTGAATTATCTAAGCTATAGGTGGTTATGTGCCAATCGATAGAGCAAAGCACAGAAAGAAAAACTATGGTTGGAAAATAAGGGCACGTGAATCATAGTTGGGAATTCGATATGATTCAAGGTAATTTATTAGAGAAGGGACGACGTAAAACTCTATTATTTATTTGGTCCACCTTTTTGTCTTAGAAATTCATATTCCCCATATTATTGCATCTTCTCGATTAGCCAAAATGACATGTGACATTATGCGTACCGCTCGTGTAAATTGGAATCTGAACAAATTAATCATACAAATTACTTAAGAATCTATAATGTTTTTTTCTAAATTGAAGTTCTGTACAGCTTCCAAGATCTAAATTTTTGTTTTTATTTTTACACCTAACAAAGTAAATCAAAAGACTAGTAATAAAACGTTGAATAGTTTGATTATTACTGAGCTAAGCGTTAAGATATATAGGAAAAGTAAAACATAAGAAAATAAGAAATACCAGAAGAAAACAATACTTTCAGTGGGAAGCTGGCTCTTGCATTGCATTTGATTTAATATTACTTGGGTTATTCTACAGATACAAGGGAGAAAGGAAGATTGGAAAGAGCTCTACAACTTGTCATTAACTAGGCTCTTTCCCCATTCTTTGTACATATACATCTAGGTTATACCATACACACGTAAGTCGTAACCTTTTCCAATAAGGTTTTTTTTTTTTTTTTTTTTTTTTTTTTTTTTTAAAAAATTTTTTTTTTTTTTTTTTTTTTTTTTTTTTTTTTTGCAAAAAAGGGAAAAAAACCCGAAAACCAAAAGAGAAAAAAGGAAGAAAAAAAAAACTAATTTGTTTTCACGAAGATAATTGGCTTGTGTAATTTAGTGGCAAGCTGGTTCTGAATCCTCCATTTCAATCCCACACTCAGCAAGCCTCTTCTCCTTGTACACATACCGTCTCGAAATAAACAAGAAAATCATCAAATTCAACACACTCAACGTTGCCAATAGCCAATAGAAATCATAGAGCCTCCCTTGGTTTAAATTATCAGCTAACCATGGGTTTTTCCCTGTCACCTTGTGCACTATAGTCACCAAAATAGAACTAAAGAAAAACCCTAGTGAAAGTGTACTCAAGAATAACCCTGTGCTCATTGTCTTCATCCCTTTAGGACATTCCCTTAGAAAGAAATCAAGTTGTCCAATGTAAGTAAATGCCTCACCTGCCCCTACTAGCAAGAATTGTGGGACTAACCAAAAAACACTCAAAGGAACCTTTGCATTAGCATCATTGGTCAATCCATGCAAATGTGCAACATTCAATCTTTTCACTTCAGTTAAAGCAGCAGCAATCATGGCTATAATTGAAAGGATTAAGCCAACTGCAATACGTTGCAACGGGCTTGTACCGTGAGGGTTGTTGAGGACACGTCGGCAAACCGGAACGACAGCGCGGTCGTAGAATATGCACGTTAGGAGGATACTTCCGACGAAGAAGAGTGTCAATGAAGCCGGAGGAATTTCGAAATTTCCGATGTGACGGTCCATGGTTGTAGCTTGTGACACGGAAAATGTTGTCATTTGAGCATAGACAGTCCAAAACATAATGGTCGTGGCCCATGTTGGTAACATTCGGACTACCAATTTTACTTCTTCAACGTCGGTTAAAGTTGATAAGTTCCATTTATTTACCACGGTAATTCCAGCGGATTCAGGGTCCTGTACTTTAATGGCTGCCTTGTCCAAGAAACTGCAAAATAAAAACAAAATCCATGGTCAAAATTTGGCCCACAATATAATTGGAATTTAATGATGCATTTGTCTTTCATTGTGGACATTATTGTTAATAAAACGTCAAATTAGAAAATTAAAAAAAAAAAAAAAAAATAAAAAAAAAAAAAAAAAAGAAGAAGAAGAAGCACGAAGCTAATTCTATTATTGTCCTCCACTTTTTCTTCTTTATATTTTGTTTTTCTTGATTTAAAACTTGACAAGTTGTATGGGCACCAGGCAAGGGGCGTGAAGATCGATTAGGTGACAGACTGGCTAAGATGGTCTCGTGATCTTGGTTTCCTTTTTATTCTTAAAAGACTAAGTGTTCACTGCATCTTCATCTAAAGTATAGTACAAACATTTCTTTCTTTTTGATGAGAAAAATACTACTATATGTAATTTTATCTGACAGATGACGTTACTACTAGATAAAGGGGTTCTAGACGCAGTGACTTAAACAGCCTTGAAGTTCAGAAATTTATCAGTTTCTGTTGATATTTTCTACTCCCACCTCTCTCCTCACCCCTACTCCACCCCTCCCGGCTCCCCCAACAATGTAATTGAGCAAATTCAGTTTTTTTTTCTAAGACCGCTTGTATTGAACAAATTGGTACAAGAATTAGGAATCATGTGATCATAAAAGAAAGATAACAAAAGGCTGTATTTTCCATTTTTTTTGTTTAAGCGTCAACTTGTGGTAGTTTTCAAAATTTACTGTGAGGTCAAGTCGTTATCAAGGAAAAGTTAGTGACAGTATTATTTATCTCTTTTTGTTACTCACTACTTAATTATTAAAAAAAGGTGTATGATTACCACCTTTTGATTTGTAAGCAAAATATTATTTGAAAAGGAAAAACAAAAGAAGCATATATGAGGTACTATTAGAAGTGCGCTCGTGTTTGTTTAATTTGTTTTTATAAATATAGCTACCACACTCTCTGTAGGCAATAAGTCGGCAAGGTCTACTTCCAAACATTAAAAAAGATTAGTTAAGAATTAGAGAGGGTCTATTCCAAATTCCTCGGGTAGGGGAGGGTTTAGGCTAGTGTATATTCAATAGGTTTCTAGTCTAACTTTCAAACAAAAATAACAACAAACTCAGTATAATTCTATAAGTGGGGTTTGAGCAAAATAATATGTACGCATACTTTATTCCTACCTTGTGAAGGTAGAGATGCTGCGGCTCATAGGATCAAGTCAACTTGCAAAATGTTCAAAATCTTATATAGCTTGGTTGTCTATATATCCTAAAATATTTCGACAAAATGGAAATAATTTTGGGATTTGATTGGAGATGCTGTTGAATTGGTTGATGGTTAGCTATCAAACATTTGGCCTACCATGGGGATAAGTTCAAAACATTTCAAATAATGCAAGGAAATAATCAAGCCAACCAGAAATGATAACTTGCACATAAAAACTTCATTTCCAATTCTTAGCATGATCTACAGGACATGGCACATGGTTTAACAGGATCACTTCTCTTTCTAATAATGTATTGAACTCGTGAATTGCAAGTCAATAGAAGGATTTAAGGTAGTATTTGGAGCTTGAATAACTTTTAGTTATTAGAACTCAAATTATTCTCTAGAAAGTTAGTATAGTTTAGTGTAAAAGAAATTGAAGTCTATTCTTTGTTAATATAATTATAATTAGCCTACCAGGGGGAGAAATAGGAGTAATAATTTGGCTGTCAAGAAGAAATAAGAAGTTGCTATTTCTATTTATAAAAAAAAAAAACAAGAAAGATGTAAAACAAAAATTATTTCAGTCTCAAAAGGAAATATATATAACGAAATAAAAGGAAAAAAGTGAAGAACTAGATGACAATAATAGTGAAAAGACAGTTAATACTAGCAGTTAAAGGATTAAAAAAAGAAAAAAAAAAACTCACCGGAATTCCTTGCTGTGAGGCAACCTCTGCTTAGCTTTTTTGTTTCCATCCCCAGGAATATCATCAATATTGTATAAAAGAGAAGAATCAGAAGGCAATTCCATATGCCTTTTGTTCCAAGCAGCCACAAAAACTGAAGCAATTTGTGTCAATGGACTTCCCACAAGTTTCTTGAAACGATATTTTCTTGTGCCCGATAAGAATATGACCAAACCAATAACAATAGCACAAGCACATATTCCATAACCATATTCTCTTCCCAAATTATCTTGAATATACACTAGTACTGTCACTGCACCAAGTGATCCCACATTAATGAAGAAAAAGAACCAGTTGAAGAATTTTATCATCTGTCCTCTTTCTTTCTTGTCGGTTTCGTCGAACTGGTCTGAACCGAAGCCGGAGACGCTGGATTTCAGGCCGCCGGTGCCGAGCGCCGTCATGTATAGTGCTATGTATAGAACCATGAGTTGTTTGGAACTTGCTGGAATGCATGTTGAGCTCCCTGGGGAACACTTTGGTGGTCGTAGGCTTGGGATTATTGTGGAGATGGTCAATATGGTAACACCCTATTCATCATAAGTATCAAGAAAATCAATCAGTACTGTTATAACAGGTTAATTCTAATTTTTTAAGTTATCATATCAGATTGTTACTAAGAGTTGTTATAACTTAACTTTATACTATTAGTATATCAAATTTGAACTCTATCTGAAGAAAGAGAAATGATAAATTGTAGAATCTTTTCTCTTTTAAAAAATTCAACTAGTGGAGGTAATATATATTTTTCTTCTTCTTCCTTTTCTTTCCACTTTCTTGTTTCATAATAATTGATCTTTCAACGCCCATGTCCAATTCATTCTTCATAAAAATAGTTGATTATTAAACCAAGTGTTATTAAACATTTTCTCCATCTTAATTCCCTTCTTATTCGATTTTCCTCTTCACAACATCTATAATCTGACTGGTTTTCAATGCAATCTAAACATGGTGTTTTTCTTAGTTTTCTTTATTCCGTTGCTGGTTGTCATTCTTACTCTTTCCATTCTCCTCATCACAGATTTTAAATAAATTTAAGATCAGTTTACATGTATCAATCTTACGTAAGAAAAAGAAAAAGGTTGATTTGATGACCATATGATTAATTAGTCCAACTCCAATATGATGGCACTCAAAAAAGTGAGTGACGTCACTTCAGAAAAGAAAGATTTTTCTATTAGCCAATCCAATCAAGATGTAAAAAATGGAACGTACCATGGCTTGAATAGTGGTAAAGATGCCAATTGTAAGATATCTGCAATAATTAAAGTAAAGAACAAAGATGTTAATTAGTGACAGATAAGTTTTACTATATGAACTTCCAAAGTTTAAGGTATATAAAGGTTCACGAACCGTCCAAGAAAAGTGTCGGCTACGAAACCACCAAGCAAAGTGAGCATAAATGAAGTTCCAAGAAAATTTGTAACGTTGTTGGCCGAACTAGCATTTCCTAAATGCATGGTTCCAGTCAAGTATGTCACCAGATTTACAGCAATACCTAACGTCGTTAGCCTCTCCACTGCCTCAATCCCTATAGTAATTTAAACAACAATCATTAGTTTATTAAAAAAAAACAATATAAAAAGTTCAAGATCAAGAGTAAATGATTTCAGGAGAGTGATCTTATTATATCGATTTATATTTTTCACTGTATGTATACATTTTTCAAGCCTATAGCAATGGTTCAGTTATATTGAACTCATAGAACCCATCCTAAAGAAGAGAGAAAAGGGTAAGGTACCTAAAATCATGGCGGCGCTGGACCAACCGCCGGACGAGGATCGAACAGCTGGTCGACCTTTGTAATCCCAGGCATCTGGGAGAGTTTTTGTATCTTGTTGTGTTTCAGGAAGTGCCATTTTTAGCTAGACCTTTTTGTTAAGTTTGTGTTTCAATGGTGTATTTGAACGATAAGAAAAAAAGGTTGAAGAGGAGTTTGAGATATTAGGAGATAGAAAAGGTATCCAAGAGTATGGTAAGATTCAATTGATTCCATTACCCTTTTATAGCCGTAGGTTTGGGGTAACTCCTGTGCTTTTTTGATTATTTTAATACCTATATTTTTTTATTCTACTTAGGTCCATTATCAAAGGGAGTGGTAAGTCCACATTATTGTCTTTTCCTTATTTTGATTTATTTTTTTTAACTAAGAAATTTCGTGGTCCCTAGCCTCAAATGATACACAAAATGATTGACAGTGAACTGCTAGATGCCTGTACCCACGAACTTGAAAGAAGGAAAAAGTGCCTAGTCTCTGCCTCTCTGGTAATTAAAAAAGGATTACACCTTTAGTTTATGAAATCAAATTAGCCATTTAAATATCCCTTTAAACGTGTTATATTAAGGAGGAAAGCATTTCTATAGCAAATGTTTTACCTTGGAAAATCTAGATCATTTATGCCAATGTTTGGTCCGTAGAGGATTATGCGATATATGATAATTACAGGTGAAGAATAGAGTACGAAGGTTGTGCTTGATGATATTTCTGAGTATTAGAAATTGACAACAATGTTAGAATGGTCAAAGAAAGTGATATAGATTATGAGTTGAGATATTTGTGGATAAAAATGACCTCCGCCCCTAAGTAAAAAAAATAAATTTTCATCTTTTTGTTGTAACGTTTTTCTTGGATCATAGTAACCAAATACTCTACTAGAAAATGATCTCATCAAAAATAACATATTTCAAGAAAATATACTTTGGGATAACATTTAGCGCCACCAAAACACCTTAAAACATATGGAGTAACAGGGGCGGAGGAAAAACATTAGTTACGGGTTCGGATGAACTCAGTAGCTTTTGCGTAAACTCTATATATATTTGTATTAGAAAATTCATAAAATATGTATGAATATTTAATTGGGAACCCAATCACTAAGACAAGCTATGACTTAGATGACGAATCCGGAACCCATAAACTGCAAATCTTAGTTTCACCTCCGTGGAGTAATACCGAAATCAGTAACTTACCATGCATGTTTTAACCTTGAGTAAATAAAATTGATGTGCCATAAACTTGTAAATAAAAGTGAAAATGGTGTGTTGTTATCAGCCAAGCCAGTGGGAACAATACTTTTGGTCATTCATCACAAGATCTTCTATAGTTCCCAAGTATCTTGTGAGTTAAATATAGCTTTACAAGAATGGGCGATAGGCATGAAAATCAGCGGATTGCAGTATCCATTACATTTACCTGTGGAGCAGAGCAAATAATTTCTCTGGTCCAGGAAATTTTGCAACCTTTTGGTATTTTGTTTCTTAGCAACTAATAATAAACTAAAATAGAAAAACCAAAAGTTTAGGTTGTCGCGCTGAAATAAAAAGTGCACGTCAAAAGATAAATCAACTTCTAAGAACCTTTCTGTGGTGGGCATGCATTCAAAAAAATGAGATATGGAAAGTGGTAGAATGCATCCAAATCGGGGAAAATCACGTTTCTACTTTTTCTTGGAAACTATTCATTTGCAACAACATTAATACTACCTCGTTTTTTATTCTCACATCCTTTGATAATATTTTTCAAATTTCCACCCACCCCCACTTTTATAACTTACCAATGGAGAAAAGGCACCTTGGCAAATGGCAAATCCTCATAAATAAATTAAAGCACTTGCCAAACTTTAGGAACTGAGGGGACAAAAGACAATCTTACATTTTGAGAAATTGTGGAAACTTCAGACTTGGACAGCCCAAGAAAATAAAAGGAGAGGACTAAAGACAATGGTTCTTTTGTGAGTGCTTTGACCTTATTAAAAAGTTTCCATTAACAAATAAGTACAACAATTAGCAGGTCACACATGTTTCTTACTTATTGCTCTCCAATTTAAAGTGTCTATAACGAGAAATCATCATCTTATCCTTCCATAGTTTTCGGGGTAAGTTTTGGTGAAATAATTTTATACGTATAACTTTTTTTGAACTATCATGTTACTTACGATGTAAAATATGTCTACACGATAAGGTCACTTATTAAGTTATTACAGGTAAATCTCTTAATAAACATTAGTTGGTAATCCGATAAAAATGATAACTTAAATAATATCACATGTTAAATTTTACTTTTATTATAGAAATTATTTCACTGTATATAATTTTAGTTCTTTTATTATGGTAAATTACATTAATTGTGTAGAAGCACATTTACACTGTCGGTAAATATATTCATATAAAATGAATTAAAAATCTAAAGAGTGTTCTCATCCTTTTTAAAGCACATTTTTCAGTTTTTTTTTAAAACAGTATTTTTCTAAAAACTGGAAAAAAGTATTTTCGATTTTTTCAGTTTTTAGTAAAAAAACATTCAGTTTTTTCCAGTTTTTACAAAAACATTATTTTAGAAAATTGCTTTTCAGTTTTTTTTCGGTTTTTACAAAAATATTGTTTTAGAAAATATTTTTCAGTTTTTTTAAAGCAGTTTTTTTGTTAAAACTGAAAAAAAAATCGTTTTTTAGTTTTTAGTAAAAAAAAATTCAGTTTTTTCCAGTTTTTACAAAAAAAAAATTGCTTTAGAAAATTATTTTTCGGGTAAGGGTAATGAGTCTTTTTAATTAATTTGGAGATATTTAGAATTGTCCAACAGGACGATGACACGTGTTCCTCCATTTAATGAGGGGTATATTTGAACCCAAAGTATGACTGTAGCGATATAGATAACCCAATAGTATAACGAGTTGTATTCTTAGATCATTTTCGAAAATACAGGGGTATATTTGGACCTTTGCTGTCTTCTTTTCCATCACTGTTACTTAAAATGATGCAACAAGTGGCCAAATTTTAGGTCCTTTTAGGATAAGCACTCTTATAGGATTCATTATATTTTTTCATGCGTGTAGAAACAACTCATGCTAACAAAGTTGTATCTTTATATTTTACGCGTCAATTATTAGAATTAAGAAGTTAATCTTGTTTTTCTTGGGATCCGTCTTAGATTCTTTGAGGTATCTTTCCTTTATTAGTTAATTTTTCACCAATGTTTTATCCCTTAATTACAAGCGCAGAAGGTCAAGAAAAGGGATTACAAAGAATTTTCCTTTTTCCGATCGACTACAACTTCTTGACCAGTTCGCAATCATTAATCCAATGTCTATGATTTGTGATTTTGCTTGTTTATGCTAATGCAAGTATTAGTGACTACTTCCACGTCTCGAACCCGTGACCTATATGTCACATAGAGATAACTTTATTGTTGCTCTAAGGCTTCCCTTCATACAATGTACGACATTTTACGTTGAGAATTTTTTTTTATCTTGCATTTTTATGCATGTTTATTTATTAACAAATCACCGCGTTAATAGTGAGGTTAGACCAATCATTTCACATAATTAAACTGTTTTCAATGATTAATTAAAGCATAGAAATGTTTACAGAAACTCATTATAAAAGGTAAAATTTCTAATCTTCAGTTTTCATGCCTCGAGCTGTCAATCTAACCATCGATGATTAAGGAGTGACTCGTGTAAAAAAAAAAAAAGATAAACCGCAGTTATACATGATTAACTCTCAAGAATGAATATAATTAACAACTTATAAGAAATACCATAATCAAAGTCCTTCTAATTTTGTTAAATTAAGATTAGCTGTAAGTCGAATAAAAGAAGTGAAGGACAGCTAGCTGTCTAATATTGATCCTAACTGGATAGACAAATTTTTAGACAAAATATCAAGCGGAGACTTAGAGTCGAATGAAAACACATGCCACCCCCGGATTGAATATTATTGTATACTGATTACAGAATTTCATTTATACTAAAGAATAAGATAAATAAAAAAATAAATAAATAGAATTATGTCTCTTTTAACTGTTTAAGTATTTTAACTGAATTCACACAAACTAATTGGTATTAGGGTAAGAAAAGTTTTGAGTTTAAGTCTCACAGTCAATCCATCTATAAGAATGTCAAAATGCGATGTTTAGAAACAAATAATCAAAAAGTGAAACCATTTCCAAAATATATCACCATTTTACGTAATTCATAGAAAACAATAAATTAAAGAGCTGATGGCGGCATCTGAGATTAACCAACAATTGTACACCTATCATATCGAAACAATCTTAGAATATTTGACAATTTATTCCTGAAGAAGATCAAGAAGTAAACACGGAACATGGAAAACGACGAGGTGGTTGTGAGGGACGAATCCAACGTTATGGTTAATATTTCGACGCAAAATATAAATTTATATATTGAGATTAACTAAAATTACAATAAATAATAAATATGAAGTCATAACTTTAAAAATATAATAAATTCAGTACTAAGGAACTTTAAAAATTAAATCAACAAAATTTATATTCTGAATCCTCATTTATCATATCTATATAGATGAGATTTTTATACAAATAGCTGGCTATATTAATTGTTTACTTTTTATAGTCATATACATTGATTATACACTATTATACACATATAATACATAAAATATGCATATATTATATATTCATTGGCTAATTTTAATTTAAGTGGTAGGATGAGCGACTATTTGGGTTAATTCTTCTATATAGATTGCAATACATTGTGGCTGGCAGGACCAACTGGCGCTCGACAAAATATATATATATATATATATATATATATATATATATATAAAAGAAAAGAAGGCTAACTATGATTGCAATACATTGTGGCCTGCAGGACCAACTGGCGCTCGAAAAACTTTAACTCTTACCAATCTGTAGACTGTATTTCATTTTCCTCCGGCACATAAAAATCACCTCATAACTCATAACTAGGGGTGTACATATGTCGGGTTACTTTGAATTTTTTAATTATCAAACCAAGCAATGGTGTTGAATTCTTAAATTTATAAACCAAACCAAACCAATAAAGTAGGATTTTTCAATCTCGATTTTCCTCGGGTTTTCGGGTTTTTTCCGGATTTTTGAGTTTTTTTCCGGTAAAGTCTTCATAGCACAAAATATGTAAGTTGTGCTCCAAATATTTTTTTAGTCCTAGTAGGATACAACTATATAATGTATTTTCAAGAA